GACACTCACTTTATGAAAGTGATTCCTTTGAATAAATAACAAATACTTTTTAAGTGTTTGCATACAAGCCATTAACTAACCAAAAATAAAGGGGAGGGGAAGAATTGAGGGACTTCAAGGTAATGCTGGAGAAACCACTGCCAACTGAGGCCCAATCATAAATGAAGAGCTGGTGTCAGAAAGAATGAAGCCAAAGATCCAATTCGCCCACAGTGTTCCTCAAATGCATTTCTTCTTCTACAATCGATTATAAAAATAGGGGGATTTCATAAAAACCATGGAGTTTGGAAATGTTATTGCCTTCCGTTAAATCAGAAGCCTTCATCCTCCCTGTCTCCGAGCTGATAGCAGTCACTAGATTTAACTCTTTGACACTTCCAGAGCAAGACAGCAGAGCCTTGGCTGAAGGTTATCTTAGAACACATTACAAGAAAAAAACAGGCTCCACTGAGCTGGTAATAATCCAGATTATCATCTATTCCCGTTTCAGAGCAACAATGGATTTCAACCAGTTTTGTTTTATAAATATTACTGTGGCTCAACACATCTAGGAGGAGACACAACATTACCCTCGGCTTTCATCCTGTTTGTGTACTAATTATATCAACAACCTGAACCAACTTAACACTATACAAAAACACAGCTGATTTAGCAATCTGTAAATTATACATGTACATAAATCTGTACCAAAATGTGCTATGTTTCACTCCTGCTAATGTGCATGGATTCTTACTGGCACCTACAATTGTTTGATATAGGTTTCCGAACACTAAAACATATGTTCTGCCTAGAATGGGACCATTTAGGGTAATATTTTTTTAGTTTCCTGGCACGAAGGTCTGCCAGCCTTCCTAAGACAGTAAGTGCCTGGATTTAAGCAACCATCAAAAAATATTCTGGAACAACACTTTCCAATCATGAATATAAAGAGAAACAGGCTGGTAAGAAAGTCAACAGAAGGATTTGAAATGATCACTGACATGACCATAAGCAAAATCTGGGGAATAGTTAATTATTCCTGCTAACTACTTGTAACTATCCAAAAAGCAGGTAACTACTAAATCTCTCCTCCAAATGGACTTCAGAATATATCAGAGAAAGTTAAACTAGATTTTAGTCCTATCAAGACCAGTTAAACACCTTAAAAATGTTTTTTGCTTTTTTTTTTTTTTTAAACACAATGCCAGCCCTAAATAAGAGCTGCAAGCAGAAACATTATGGAAAGGGTCAAGATGCTTGGACCAAGATTCACTAGAATGTAAATTTCTAAGGAGTAAGGAGGGTTTCTGGATTCCCACTATATCCCCAGTGTTCAATAACTGTACTCAATAAATCGTTTTGAATGAACAAACCTGTCGCAGCTGCTGACTAGTCCCCGATGTGCCTCTAACTGCATTTTCTAACTCTGCCTTTTACTAACTGTAGCTAAATTACTTAATCTAAGGATTCCTTTTTTTTTTTTTAGATTTTTATTTATTTATTTGAGAGAGAGAGACACAGCGAGAGAGCACAAGCAGGGGGTAGTGGGAGAGGGAGAAGCAGGCTCCCCGCTGAGCAAGGAGCCCAATGCGGGGCTCAATCCCAGCACCCTGGGATCATGATCTGAGCTGAAAGCTGACTCCTAACTGACTGTGCCGCCCAGGCACCCTGAGATTCTTAGCTCTTGAAACTCTTAAATGGACACACTGCACCTCCTCTGCTGGTATATGAGGATTAAAGTTATTTAATACTTTATAACAGGTGCTTGAATAAGTAAGTGCCTGTTTCCCTGCCAGTGACTTCAGTTAACCCACTGACAAAGGTGAAAAGGTGAAAATACCACCCTTCCTTAAAACAGAATTAGCTTCTCCTTTGCCCTGTTACTCGGTTTGGATGTGGTAGTGTGGCTGTTAGCCAAAATGGATGTTGTTCTTGTTGTTGTAACATTTTATTCAGTCTCCACTGGGAAATTAAGCTTCTCTAGAGAACATAATGGTAATACAAGGAAGGTCACTGCAGAGTGTACCATGAGGAACATGACACTGGGGTCAAGGGACTTCGGGTCTCATCAGCTCTGCCCTTAAATATTTGAGGAAATGCGCTTGCTTCACTTTCTTCATCTGTACAAAGATGGGGAAGGAGAGGCAGACGACACAGCATCGAATCCTACAGGTTATGATATTCCAGATACCAGATATTCAAATGCCCCAAGACAAAGCCAGTTCTATTACCCAGAAGCACAGTTGTCAGATGGCTGGAGAAAAAATGAAGAACGATACCCTCCAAAGACCTCCTGCATCAGGCACTGTGTGCTTCCCACTTTGAACAAGTCACTTAATATTCCTAGGGCTCAGTTTTCTGATCTGTAAACAAGGAACAATAATACTGCATAAGATCACTGGGAGAAAATGCTTAATAAAGATGATCTAGAAAGTATTGCTATTTAAAGGTAAACTGCTATTTTAATACTGTAATGTCCAAAAAAAGGCTAGTGGATTTTAGGAGGAGAAAAATCAATATTTTTAAATAGACTTTTTTCCATCACGGTAAAATAAAATAATGCACGGAGATATCGTGATAGTTCCAAGAGTCCACATAGTTTTCTTCTATTTGTGTTTTGGAAATGTGATGAAAGGGATCACTAAAAGCTTAAATCCCACATGTCAAGACCAGAATATTTTCTTCTGAAATAATAGATAATTTTAAAAGTCCATCCAACTTTCCTAGGATGTTTTGTTTGTGTTGCTGATGTCGTTTGGTTGGTTGGTTAGCTGAAGTCAAGCTGTTGGAATTGGTGCTGAAATTAAAATGTCAATGCTAAAAATATTGCCAGCTACTTAGTCTATTGACACTCTATATATGCTTAGAGAGGAGAAGTGGCTCTAAGAAAATCAACTAGAGTATTCTGCCCTCTCAGCTCCAAGATTCATTTTGTGTTTGTGTGGTATTAGTTTCACCATTCTTTTTTCTTTTTAAGATTTATGTATTTATTTGAGAGAGACAGAAAGGATGTGCAAGAGGGGGAGGGGCAGGAGAGTGGGGGTGGGGAAGAATCCTCAGTGGGGAGCCTGACTCCGGGCTTGATCCTAGGACCCTGAGATCAAAACCCGAGTGGAAATCAAGAGTCAGACACTCCACTGACTGAGTCACCCTGGTGCCCCTGGTACCACCATTCTTAAGGTCCTCCTACAAGCCCAAGGAACCTTATGACTATTACAGGTAAGATTCTGTTACCTCCCTCTCCACTCAAAAACATTAGATGATACACATTAGACACAAGCTTTCCCCTATACCTTAAAGAACACTGCCTCCTCACCCTCCACCCCACCCCGCAAAAATGGAATTGTCATTGATATTTATGAGAAAGTTGGTGTCACTGGCACTGGGATCCCCAAATCTGCAAGACTGTCTCCACACCCCCAAGAGGTCAATAACCACAGCTATCACAGCCAATTAACTCTTACTTAGTGATTTTATTTAAAAATCCATGAACACCTCTAGCTTTTTTTTATGACAGAAGAGTTCATTGTGACTATTCATGCAGTAATTATCATCCCCTTGAATCCCCAGGTAATAGCTGTGACCTTGTTCTAAAAACCACCTCCGTTCGTTTGAGTGAGGAAGACCTTGAAGGGAAAGGTGACTAACCAGAAACTCTTCAATACTCTTATTCTTAAGAGGCACGCAATAAATGATCATTTCTAAAATATTTAAATAATACACAATAATATGCTATCCTAGTCGACAAGTTTTTTGTTGTAAGCCAAACTTAAATCACTTTTTAATTAAAGAGTATTTCTTGGGAGCATAAATCACTTTTCATGCTCTTCCCCTGAATCCCTAACTAAATCCAAATAGAAGCCCATGATTTTAACACAAGCTCCTCCTTAAGGCTCTAAAGCTGTGATATTTCCGCATTTTTTAAAACCTATTCCCCAAGTTAGCTCTGCCTCTGGAAGGAGAGGAGTCCCAGAGCCTGTGAAGAGCATCTCCGGACTTGGCCCCCGGTCATTTCAGCCTTTTGACGACCGGGTGTGCACTGCACCTTCCAGATGCCCACCTCCTAGCTGCTCTGCAAAACGCTTTAGCCAGGATGCTTTGCTGTGGGTCCTAAAGGTATCGGAAATGTTTTCCTTTCCATCCCTGCTGCTAGGACTCTCACCGTCCCCCCGCTTCACGCCACTGTCCATCTTAATGCCACAGAGAAAGAGAGGAGCGGGGAGCACTCATTTACTGGGTAAGGGATAGATTTACAGGCTTGGTGAGCTTGGGAATGTCTAGGTGAGCAAGATTTATAAGCATAAAACACTGCTGAGGTTTGGAAAAGAGGAACTATGGCAGGTTTGTCCCTGTGACAGCTTGGCCAGCTCTGCACCTATGCGCTCCATTTCCCATCTAAGTCCAGGAAACTCTGCCCCTCAGGAGCCTTCACTTAACCCCCAAGAGGGTGGGTGCGTGAAGAGGTGGAAGCGGGTAACCTGCAGCACGTCCCTACATCCCCGCGTCTCCACACCTCGGACTTTTCAGCCGCCAGATGGAAGGTGGAAGCAGCCGCCGCCCCCATCCCTCGGGGGCCCGGACCCGAGCAGTGTCTTCTGCTGGCTCTCCCTGGGGAGAGGAGGCGCCTGGGGTGCAGCCGGAGAGCCCCGCGAGCCTTCGCGGAGGGGTGGGCAGTGCCGATGGGGAGCGCGCTGCTCCTGCCGCGTCCGGCTTCCCATCACTTTTCCCAGTACTTTGCCCATCAGCTGTCACGCTCGCTGGAGAGGAGACCGAGAAGGCGCGAGAAGGGCCCCCAAAGGCGTCCCCAGCAGAGCTCTCCTCTTGGGATGGGGGGCCCACAGACCTCGCCCCACCCTGCCCACCTAGCCCTGCCTCCGGGAGGCAGCCCCGGACGCCCGCGCCGCGGCTCCCAGCAGAGCTCCGGGTTCTACTGCATCTGCTGGCGCCGAGCGGCGGGAGGCGTCGGCAATCGAGGCACGGAAAAAAAGCCTGGGTAACCGAAATCCGAATGCACCTCTTACCACTGGACCGCCGGACAATATTCTCCAGAAACGTGTTCTGCGGGGCCACCAGTCCTCTCCTGCCCCCGGCCATGGTCATCCTCCCGGCAGCTTGGGGTCCTGGGGCCGTCCCGGCACGGCTTCTCACGGCAGCAGGAAGCTGGGCGCCCGGCCCTCGCGCGATCCCGGCTCGAAGCGCCCCATGCGCCCCGCGGGGACCCGGGCGGCCAGGGGCGGCGGCTCCCTCCGGCTGCCACCCTCGCGCCCTCTTCGCGCCTCCCTACCTGCCGCCCGCCTTGCAGAGCGCTCGCGCCAGGCTCGCCTCGCCGCAGCCGCTTCCGGGTGGGCGGAGGGAGCCGCTGCGCCTGGGACAGGGCGCCCCCTACCGGGCTCTGCCCCCCCCCCGCCGGCCTGCGGGAGAGCGAGCGGGGGGCTCCCGCAGCGGCCGGGAAGCGCCGGGCAGCGGTGGGCCGAGGCCGGGTTAGCAGCGCCATCCTCTGGGCACAGCCCGGCGATGGGTTTGGCATGAGCCCTGGGCTGGTGGAGAGGGCGACGTTTGGAGCCGTGTCCTTGGTGGAGTCACTTCCAATAAGGTTACCACGAGTCCTGGGGGGACATGATCCTGTAACCCTCTTCCTTCGCTCTGTTTCAGGCCGGAGTCTCTGGGAGCTCTGAGACTCTTGGAACACCTTCCCGCCTCTCCTTAGGGTTTGTTAGCCTCATTTGTGAAAGTTGCCAGTGTTTCCGCAGTAAAGAAGTTGAATTTAAGAGGTCAGACTTGCAGACTGACCAACTGACCGAGCTCCAGAAGAACTGTCTTGAGTTGTTAAAGATAACCAAAGGCACAAATGCAGGCTCTGGACGTTTGATCAATTTGCTGAGTGACTGACCTGATTCCCACTCTTATCCAGCATCTATTTTCACAAAAGGCCAAGAAAATATATGTATCTATGCATCACTTTTTTTTGCTGAAGCACAACCTGTTATGGTCAATGTGTGAGGTTAGGGAACAGGAACAAACTGACAGACGTCAAAATGGTGGACTTGCTTCTGAGGGTGGGAGGGAGGGGGTGGGCAGCTTCCCCAACATTTAACATTAAGTAATAATTATGCTCGACCTTGGCTTGAAGGACTGTCTACACCACAAGGATGAGGTACTGGTCTCCACACCTGCCCCTGATATGAAGAATCACATACACCAAACGTTTCTGGGCAGGAGCTCCCGTTTGCTCACTTTCCTGTGCTCACTTACATTGGGCCATTTCCACCTGCAGGTGACTCTTTACCTGTCTTTTATATTGTATGTCCCCCAGTGGGTGTGGCCAGAGGCCATGCCTTACAAAAAGAATGAGTTGATAGTTTTCTAGATAGTTCCAGGCTAGATAAATAGTCGACACAAAAATGTTTACGAAGGATAAGCAGACCCCACCACCTCGAGTGTCTAGGTTAACCATCCTGACTCATCCTATTCTATTGCAGATACCCTATCTCCATTTACTAGTCTCAAAATACAAGGACTGATTCTTGCCCAGCAATGCCTCAGAGTTACAGTGAAGATCAAACATAATTATGCCAGGGGCAGCACTCTAAACCATGAAGTGCTATACCACAGTGAGACGTCATCATTTGAGTGACTAAATAAATTGGGCCATTGTGGACATCATCGTGTGTGGGCACAAAGTGAATAAATGATGGCTAATAGCCGAGTTAGGTAAGGCTTGCCTAGGCTTTGAAATCAAAGTAATGATACTTCTTCCATAAGATCACATCAGACGCCCAACTCAGAGCTGTGATTTCTTAAGCCCTAGCTCCGTCTAGTGGTTCTTTTTTCCATTACAATTGAGATAACAAATGGCAATTGACAAGAACTTACTGAAATGTATTTGGTGCTGAGCTGGCTCGGTGGTGTCTGCCCACTTCATTTGAATAAGTTCATTTGAATAAGGCTCTTAAGGTTATGCTATCTACTGCACAAACAGGCCCAAGGGGAGATTTTTCATGACAATATTAAAAACCCATCGAGCAACCACATAATCCTACTTGTGCAAGGAAGATAAAGAAGAGAATGGGGGAAAACTGTCACAGAGAGTTAATAAAACTTCTAAAATTTAATGAGCTTTCGTGTTCTGTGGCTCACATAAAAAAGAAACAGATGATATTCATTTGAAGTAAGAGATGTTAAAGCCTTTTACCTGATAAGAAAGAAGAACAAGGAGATCTCTTCCATTTTAATTTTAAATGTACTACTACAGTGATTCTCATCATGCACTACATTATGGGGGGGCACAGTTTTGAATACTATAAATTTTAGTGGCACACTTGAAAAGATTAAAAGACCTAAAAGAACACTAAAAAGTCAGCAATCTTTAACCACCATCACTACTCAGTGTGACAATGTCTCAGTATCTATGAATGTATGTCTCAAAGAGAAAGCAAAGCATTCTCTTGCCCAACCCTCAACACTATCAAACTCTGGGAAGACAGTCGTGTTCTGCCCTGTCCACATTCTCTTTGATAATTCACAGGCCAAGGTTGCACGTGCTCAGTAAACACACTATCTTTTCAGGGGCTGGTTTGACAATACACTGTGCTTCTTACCTCTTATTTGACACCTTCTGTTCCCGACTCTACATTCAGTTCCAGGATCTGCTTAGCTTCAGATTCTGAGATCTATCACTGAAATGTAGGACTCTCAGAGCAAGCTTTCTTCTTACAAATTCGTCAAAATTTGGTTAACACATTTGTAAAAGATTCACAATATACCAATGTGCATTGGCAAAGCAGTTGAGAGTTCCCGTATTTTTATATAACAGGCAAAGCCACTTTTCATTTAAAGGGACAATTTTAAATAACTGTGACCAGAATTCCAATTAGGCTGCCTCTGTCCCTCCCTGCAGAAAGTGGGGTACCGCTGTCTAGAACTTCTACCAAGAAGGATAGAGAGTCTGAAATGAAAACTTGTAAACTTTGACTCCAGTGTCTCTCATCTACCCTTCTCAGCAGTTCTCCTGTACTCTCCAGTGTTTAGTTTATTCCTCAGTTATAACGTGAGTTTATATCCGTATCACACAATACATGGAGAGCTCCTTGAAACAAAGATGAACTTCGCCAATCTTTGTTCTGACCAATGTAATTGAGCCATGATGTAATTAGTGAGTTCCCAGGGGGCTTGAGAGTAATGGAAGTATATACCACAACAGAGAAAGCATGGTGATGGAAGTCTACAGACTGGCTGGGAAAACAGTCCAGGAGATAACAGAAAAATCTCTATGCCTGACAACAACAAAAGAATCTATCAAATGCAGAGGAAGACAATGCCGCATATGAGAGGGAGGCGTGGAAATGGTATCATGCAAAGACAGAAATTACATTTTTTTCCTTTTATTAAGACTATCACGGATAGGTGACATTCTTCAGAAAGCTAAGGACCCCTCAAACATGGGAGAGTTACCTATGAGTCCTGGAAGGTACTGGGAACCAGAATGGCCAAGCAGGGATGCCTCATCAATACCAAACAATTAGCACCCACAGGAGAAATTGAACGTGGAGGTAACTTCACCTGCTCTGGCACCATGAGTGAAATATTTAAAACAGGGGGAATTTGCAGCAAGAGAAATTTCAGCTTCTATAACCCAATGACTGGGGTATTATTCATTATATTTAATTTCTGCTAGCAAAAATTCTTTTCTAATAAACTTACAGGAAGAGGGTTGTGAGGGTCATATCCACTGGAAGGACCTGTCCTTTATTATAGAAATCTCCCCCCGAGTGCTAGGAGAAGGGAGACAATCTGCCACAGTGAGATCATAGTCCACTCATCTTTGTGACCGGGGGGAAAGGATGCACAGACGTGGGTGTTGCTCTCAACTGTGGCTAACTCAATAGGCATTTATAAATGTCTGTGGAATTGGGTTATGTCCTTCTAAATGCCCAAAGTTAATATCCTTCTTTCTCATTTCCTCTTACCATCAGAGAACGGGATCTGTTACTGCACTCCCTCTCATGGAAAATAATTAAAAGCCCTTTACAACAGTCTCATTTTATTATAACAAACATTTGCTCAGAGATTAGCATATACCAGACACTGGGATAGATTCTAAGGATGGAAAAATGCTAATGATTGGCACTTGCCCTCAAGAAACTCAATAAACACTTGGTGAATGCTTTGCTTCTTTATAATTTCTCTCCTTTCAGCTACTTTCCTCTCTCAGTTATACACTCTAAATCTTTCTTTCTTTGTCAATAAATTATAATTCAGCTTGATCCCATCACTGAAGACTTTCCCATCTCCTCCTAATTGAGACCTGGCTTTCCTCTCCGGTTTTGCAATCCCACCAATCCCCCTCCTTTGGAGGATATTCATCCGCTCTGGCCCGTGTACCTAGAAGCCAGAAGCTGCAGTGAGAATTCATCTAATCCCTCACTACCATCTAATCCAAATCACTACTCTTCCACATTCATGTAAACTTTCTCCTTTGAAGACCATGATCAATAGAAATAGCACTCTACTCTCCTTCATTTCTTAAAATAGATTTAGGGAAATTTTTATTCAGTTTTGAAAAAGTTGAGGTGTTTGTGGGACATCACAAAGAAATATTGAGTGGGCAGGTGGATACACACAGGTGTAGAGCCCAAAAGACACATCTGGGTAGAGCCAGAGATTGAAAATCAACAATTTACAGACTTCAGAGGAGGCTGAGAAGGAGGAGTTTGGAAGCAGGGATAACTCCGAGAAGCAGTTTTCTAGAAGCCCAGACAAAGTCTTTTTTTTTTTTTAAGATTTTATTTATTTATTTGACAGATAGATAGCACAAGTAGGCAGAGTGGCAGGCGGAAGGAGAGGGAGAAGCAGGCTCTCCGCCGAGGAGGGAGCCAGACATGGGGCTCAATCCCAGGACATCATGACGCAAGCCAAAGCAGCTGCTTAACCAACTGAGCCACCCAGGCACCCCAACCAGAGAAAGTCTTTAAGTGGGAGAAATGAAGAACACCATCATACGCTATATATTGTAAACACTGGAAAATGTCCACTGGATCTAATGATTCATTGGTGATTTGAGACTTTAGTAGATACATTTTCAATGGAATACTGGGGAAGAA